TGTAGCGTCCATAGTAGTACCAATTCGGATAATTGATTTTGATGGGAACATAAGACAAGATACACATACATAAGCATTGGAGAAAATATGGAGTTTACAGGAGAACAACAAAAGAACAACAAAACTAATTATTTTACATTACCGCGAACAAATATAGGATAGTTCATCGAGCGTATATGCCCGACATAAGCAGCCTTCGTATCCAATTCTTTCCACTTCCCACTGCAGATTTGTCATACACATTCTTCAGTCAATGGTTAAAAGTTATAGTAGTATTTCCATGATAATAATCTGTTTTGTGAACAAAATTCATGAGAAACAAAATTCTTGACCTTTCGAGGAGTAGGTAAAATGGCAAGATAAAAATGACACCTAGAATGCTTCTATAACAGAGCAATGAGAATACAAACATACCACCATCAACTGCTACCTTGCCTAACATCATAGTTCCTGTGTTCAAGAGCTCCACAAGGACCACATAGACAGTTGGTTTCCACCTGCTTCTTGTGCATCAGTTTCAATCACAATATTAGAAGTAGCGCACATTCCCCCCAAGCAAAAAAAAATACATTTTATCCCAATTCTAAAAGTAGAGAATCATCAACATTCATACAAAAACCTTATATGAGATCCACATAGATGCACGAAGTGGATAGACAGTTTGTTGTGACACACATATATAGAAAAAATTGACATGTCCAATGAAGAACATGTCCCTTTACATGGATACACGGGGCATACTCGTAATCTAGGTCTCCTTTTTTCCATTGGAATAAACATTCACATAACTAGAGGATACCCCGCACGGTGTTGCGGGAATTGATTGATAAACTTTTTGGTCCATACATGAGAACTAAAATTAAAAATACATATGACTTATTATACTTGATTATGTATAGTTGTAAAATATTTATTGAATATAATTAGAATAATTGAATGGAAAACATTTTCCCATGTATGGTTGAATGTTGTGATGGTTTTTTTCACTTGCAAGATTGCATGTTGTGGTGGGCCTTATCCCATTTATAATTATATGATGAGGTGGCATGCTTTCATGTTGAGGTAAATAAGTTAGTGGGGATGACTCTCTTAAGTATATAGGATTAATTATAAACTTTTTGCAAATATGAGAACAGGAAAGCAATGAACTTCCCACTGTATATCTACTTGAGCTTGCAATATTGTACTTCGCAGGGGCTGAAATCCAGCTGCTTTCAAACAAAAAGGAAAAAACAACAACTTTGCACCGAACAAAGTATGCCTAGTAGTACTGGACATGAATTTGGTGAACATGTTGGTTCCGTGCAGACACCTTATGAATAGTAAATGCAGAAAAATGCTAGAAAAGAATTAAAACATATGTGGTTGGCTGGTATACTCGTGTTCACGAAGAAATGACATCCGTGATATTCTAGGCAAAAATGACAAATCAAAACTATATTCGAAACACTGTTTGAATGAATAGCACGGTCGGATTGCATTTCTGCACTATGGAATACCTCAGGTGGCATTCCTTTACGAAACTTCACACCTGAATAGAATAGAATGGTCCGTCAAGTTTGATACCCCAAAATTTCATATTTTGTGTCTAGTAATTTTTTCGAATTTACTTTTGAAGTGGGCGTGCGTTGAATAGCAACTTTTAAATTATATCGTCCTAATAACTGCTACGTGCACAGTACACAGCACACTTTATACCGTGCACATGGATGGTGGTGTCATGCCCGTGGACAGCAGTAGCGCACGCCATGGTCACTCA